CAGGATGGATGGTGAAGAGATTGAGATTGTACACAGCTTTAGTTTGCTTGGCTCCACAGTCAACAGTCTTGGCACCAGTAGCCAGGAAATTAAAAGGCAAATTGCCATGGGTCTGCTGTTAGGTTCCTCTCCAAAGTATTGAAGAGCAATGGTGTCTCCCTGGAGACTAAGGTGCGTTTGATACAGGCCATGGTTTCTTCTCTTCCTTTGGCACCTGGTGGCCGGTTGTGATTAGAAGCAGCATGTTTCACAGCAGCAGACACTCTGAAAAGTTCTGAATATTTCAAGTGGTCTTGTTACCCTGGTGGGGCTGGCCTTCCCTCTACTTTGGTCTTCTTTCTAGGCCTCCTTTCCTCCTCACGTGTTGCTGGAATTACCTTTGTAATTTTGTTCTCTTGCATTTCTTTCAATGCTGGAGCTCCACTTGGACAGAAGCCGCCTTACTCAAAGGACAGTTTACTTCACTGAAATGTGGCCTGGAGTGTCTTAGCATCTCGTTCTGTTGTCCTCGGCGCACTGGGGTGGGGGTGGTAGGGCGACTTCACAGCAGCCAGCAGCAATAGCGTGGGCTGCGCATTTCCAGTTCTGTGAGCTGCATGCAACGCAAGCTGTGTGTCCTTCTGTGTATTGACTTTAGTTCACAGTCCCCTCACTGGGACAGCAGCACTGTTACCACTTCCTTCCTGGGTTCCTTTCCCCTTTGCCCATCTTTCTTGATCCTTCCTGCCTCCTTCATTTGGTTTTTGAGCGAACACTGCTCTTTTTAGTCTCAAATAGTTGCTTTTTTTTAAGGAATACATTGCTCACAGGTGAAATAAAGAATTACCCTTTGTTACTGCAGGAGTATGTGAGGGTAGTGACTGTAAATGCCTTTCACTCTTAGATACCTCCCAGCATCCTGCTTGACCTTCGTTTTGTTGTGCTGAGTCCTCTTTAATTCTGTTGGGTGTTGCCTTTCTCTTTATGCAAGTTAATATATGCCTTCATCTCCTTCATTTTAGATATTCAATTTCTCATTTGCCCATTCCTATCAAACCACAGTCAACACTTAGATCCACAGTCACTCTTGGTACCAGCAGTCAGAAAATCTGGAGATTTAACTGTGCTGGGAAAGTCTACAGTCAGGGACCTCTTAATATTATTGAGGAGTAATGATATTAGTTTGAAGACTAAGGTGTGTCTGATTTGAGCCATGGTATACTGTGTATCTGAGAACCAGACAGTGAATAAGGATGAAGGAAGAAGAATTGATGCCTTTGAGGTTTGGTGTTGGAGAAGAGCCCTGAATATCCCGTGGACGGCCAAAAGAACAAGCACATGTGTCTTTAAGAAGGTACAGCCAGAGTGCTCCTTTGAGGCGAAGATAATAAAGCTTTGTCCCCTGTACTTCCGGCATTTTGCTAGGAGAGGTTATTCCTTGAAGAGGGACATCATGCTTGGAAAGGTGGAGGGTCAGTGAAGGAGGGAAAGCCCCTTGACAAAATGGGTTGATAGTCTGATTTCAGCAATGGGCACAAACATGTCAGAGAAGATAAAAATGGCACAGGATAGGAGAGGCTCAGATCTGTTGTTTATAAGGTCTCTGAGTCATACTCTACCCAATAGCACCTAACAACAATTTTTTTTATTCTATTATCTTTATAGTTTAAACTTTTATATTTAGGCTTTTGATCCATCATGTGTGTATGTCTGTTTGTCTGTGTCTCTCTTTGTCTGTGAAAGATCAGCTATCCATCCTTTGGTTGGATTGCTTGTTTCTTTTTAATACTTTTAGATCGAAATAATTTTAGGCAGTGGATACCATTTTGGTTTTGATGTACAGGGAGCCATTTCAGACCTTTGCACAACTTAGCAAGTCTCTTGCTCTAGAAATACTGATTGGCTGTTGGGTTGCCCTGAAGATGACAAGTCTTCAATTGCTTTCAATAGTTTAAGTAAACGAAACATCCTTGCCTCAAATGCAGATCTGTGACCTTTGCTGTCATTCTCTACAGGATAACCCTCCATATGATAAGGGGGCCTTCAGAATCGAAATCAACTTTCCAGCAGAGTACCCATTCAAACCACCGAAGATCACATTCAAAACTAAGATCTACCACCCGAACATCGATGAAAAGGGTCAGGTCTGTCTCCCAGTAATTAGTGCTGAAAACTGGAAGCCAGCCACCAAGACTGACCAAGGTGAGATATGCTCCGGGTGGCTACCTGGGAGGATGCACTTGGGGAAACCACTTGGGAACCCAGAGTTCTGGGGGCTTCTGGTGCTGTGTGGAAAAGAACAGAGTCTGATGCTCCAGAGCTCAGGGAAGTTCTCCCTGTCGGCTCTCAAGAGTGTGGGGCATGTGCAAGGATAGTGCATGAATGAGAGGTGCTTCCTGTCCCCAGCCCTAAGTGCTCACTGACCAGTGGGTCCACAGAGACATACAGGCCCAAGCATTGCTACAGGTGCAGTGAGAGGGTCCTGGGGCCTCTGGATGTTTACATGATTGGTTGTAAGTTTGCTTGTTAATGGCAGAACAGTGTATGATGGCCTCATGTAGTGGTTAGACGTAAAGGAAATTGGCAAGGACCTTTCAGAGTAAAAGAAAGTTACTAGCCAAAACCCATGCTCTGGTGGCTTAAGGGTAAGCAGTTGGGCTGCCAGTGCAAAGGTGTGCATTTCAAATCCACCAGCTGCTTGACCGGAGAAAGATGGGCATTCTCCTCCCATGTGATTTACTGCCTCTGAAAACCCACTTGAGGGTCAGCTATGGGCAGTTCTGGTTCAGTGGTATTCAGCAACAGTAGCAAAAGCCCATTGGGTGGTAGCAGAGAACAGTGGCTTTGCATGATGTGAGGAAGATGGTCCAGGTCAAGATAGCAACTGGGCAGAGGACAGTGTGGCTTTAGCAGGCCAAGACCCCCCCCGGAAGAGGCTGTGGCTCTGAATATTGTTGAGTCTGTGAACACACACACTTAAGCACATATTTCCAGGAAAAGCCCTTAATTTTGCAGGTCCCTCTGGACTTTGTTACGGGCAGAGCCTGGTCTTTCTTTTCTTTCTTTTGCCTACTCTCTTGTTTTAGTGACTGAAAGTTGTTTAGATCTAAGAAGAGTGCCTGAGTAGTATAGACAATACCTCAGCAGCTAACCAGAAACACCTTGGAAGAAAGGTTAGTAAAAGTCACTAACTAAATAAACTGACTCTTTGCAGTTAAGTCAAAACCAACTCATAGTTGATTCTTCAGTGGGTTTTCAGAGGCTGTAAATCGTACAAGAAGAGATTGCTCATCCTTCTCTTGAGAACTGCTAGTGGATTCGAACCACTGGAGAGACTCTGTCTTTTGGTCAGGGCTCCAGCTCCCTGCAGACTACACCCCAGAAGTCCCTCCTGCCTCTGAACACCCTGAAGGGAGCAGCATTCTGTTCTGATACACATTGGGGCACATGAGTTTGGGTACCACTCTAGAGCAACTAGGGCAGCTATTTAGATCCAAGGGAGAACATGAAGCTGGGATGTATGGGCAGGTGGAAGCCTGCAGTTACTGATGTAAACAGTTGCTTTCCATTAACACCTAGAAAGTAGAAATTCCTTCCCAGAAAAAGCTGTGTCCTGTTCTTGTGACACAGCAGCTTCACAGAGTAGGGAAAAGAGTGTGCTTGCAATGCCAAGGGCTCAGGTCAGAACTGAAAGCACTCTGGTAGCCTTGTCACATAGCAGATCACAAAATGACCGTTAGAAAATTTTTTAAAAAGGTGTTGTTCTTCTGTAGCCATGGCCTTAGTTCTTTTCTGTGTCAACCCTCGATCTGTGTTGGGAGCCTGACAGCAGTGTTGTTTAAAGGTGACTTGTTGGCCCTTCACACAGATCACATCCTTATGGGGGTGGGAGTGCAGGCTGCCCAGCATGGCCTCATACCTCTGATTACTGGCCTACACAGGTCCTGAGGCCGAGGGCAAAGGCACAGAGAGAGCCTTTCAGTGCTCTTCCTGCCAGGTGATGGACACCCACTATCATTTGACTCAGGGGCCAAAGATGACCCCAGAGAGTAGAGAAAGAGTAAAATTTGGACTGATGAAATGATCAGAAGTAGATTTTTAGGATAAAATAGTGAACAAGCTGGCAAACAGTATCCTTTGGAAATCAAGTATTAATTAGCAATTGGGTGTATCTTGAGCCATTAAGTACAAGTGTGATCCTCTGAGTGTCTGTAGCAGCAACCAGGGGCCTCATCATTGCCCTGCCAAGCACTCTCCCAGCTTGTAATCATGCTATTGAATTGATTGTTGTTTGTAATAGCTCCCAGTGCATAGGCCTCCTCTGTCCACTTTTCATGGGTGCTCTTTCAGGAGTGGACCAGACTTTTCTTACAGAGTGCTATTGGGTGCGTTTGAACCTGCAGCCTTTCGTTTGGCACTTGAGCATTTGTATTGTTCAGGGACTCTACTTAGTTAAGCATGAATGAAAAACAGAAGAGCTAGATCGTAAGAAAGACAAAAATATACCTCCAGATCCCACATTCCCTAAAGTGACAACAGGGGTGTGTGAAGGTGTGAGGTGGGGAACTGCTGCTTGCCTACCCCTGCTGCCCTTCAGGTCTCACTCCCTCCTCACCCAGACTCCTTTCTTCCTTAGTCCAACAGCCAGCTGGGCAGGGGCCATCCTGTCCTCATGACCTCACTGCCTCACCTGGGATTCCTGCAGTTTCCTCCCCTGTATCACCTCAGCATTGCCAGGCCAAAAAAAAAAAGTCTCTACCCCCATCTGTGGCACCTTGGCCTGACTGTGCCTCTCACAAATGACTCTGGACATAGTGCAGCCAGCACAGATATCTTGTAATGATGGTAAAAAAACTACAGTCCCAGGGAAAGAATTGATGTGGGCAGTCTAGAGAGATGAAAATGTGGAGGGTGCTGGTGGCCATGCTCTGATATGCTGCTCTCAAGTGGGTGGCAGGGTGAGCACAGGGAAGGATGAGAAGGGGCTTGAGCCTAGACTCTGGCTCTGACACAAGCTGGGACTGGGTCCCCCTCCCCATTCCCTGTGCACACCGGGGACCTGACTGAGCTGGTTTTGGTGCCCGGGGATTACAAGCTAGCAGTCAGGTGGACCTGTGGTGCTGAAGCTCTGGAAGGCTTTGAGTGGGATAGCTGGTGGGAGCATTGATGGGGCTCCTGTGGCTAGGATTTTGAGTGAGGGGGAAACCGCATTCTCCAAAAAGCACCTTAAACGTGAGCAGTGTTGGCAGTCCCAGTTTGGCCTCTTGATTAGGTGTCTCTTCTCAAGGCCTTCTTGTCCTTCTCTCGGCAGTGATCCAGTCACTCATAGCACTGGTGAATGACCCCCAGCCTGAACACCCTCTCCGGGCCGACCTAGCCGAAGAATACTCTAAGGACCGTAAAAAATTCTGTAAGAACGCTGAGGAGTTTACAAAGAAATATGGGGAAAAGCGACCAGTGGACTAAAATCTGCAGAGATTGACCCAGAGAGTGTGAGCAGAGACCCCAGCAGTGTATTCAGACCCCCGCAAAGCAGGACTCTGTGGAGAATTGACCGTGCCACCACCTGGCCTCCGCTTGTGACAGTTACTAACTTTCTACAGTTTTCTTAATCAAAAGTGGTCTAGGTAACCTGTAAAGAAAGGATTAAAGATTTAAGATGTTCTAGTTCTGCTTTCTTTGTTTCAAACAATCACCGCTTGAATCCTCTTCCAAAGAATGGTGTTTCTTTTCTTGTCCATATTTATCCAGAACCTACTTACCACTCAGTAGCTCATGAGCTGTGTTATTTTTTTTAAATGGGGAGGAGGGAAGGTTGAGGTTCACCTTCTTCCTCTGCCCTCCCAGCACCCACTTTCTGGCATCCAGTTTCTTTTTCACCTGCCCACTTCCCCACAGCCAGGCCCCGTCTCCTTTGCCCTTGACATCCCCATGGGCTTTTCTTCTGCATTGCACTGCCTGGTGTGGGAATTTTCTCCATTGTATAGCATCCTTTAGAAAATGTTAGAAGCAATCATACACATGCGCATGTGCGCACACACACACCCCTAATTAAAAAAGATCATAAGTTGTAAAAAGGGAAGCCCAGCTCTTGTGTAAAAGCATGGCTAATGTGACCACAATCATGTTGATGAAGTGGCAGACCCCACTGCCTGTGTGCTGGGGGAAGGAACCACAATAGCAGATCAGTGGTGGCCTGCCAGCCAGAAGACATTAGTCCACACAGGTGAGGATTTCTCACCAGAAAGGCTTCTCAGGCCAAAGGTTGGCCCTCCTCAACGTCACACTTTTGGAAGATGAGTTCATCTTGCAGGTGAAACCGCAGCCCAAACGTCCACGTGAAATCCCAAGCATGCCCATCACCCAACTCCCTGCTGAATGTGCCACGGAACTCGTGCGCCTGCTGCCAGCATCTGCCCCACCGCCTCCATCACATGGATCCACAGCGGGGTCAGGACTGGCGGGATCTGCCTCAACAGAGCACCGGCCGGGGGTTGATGTCACTGTGCTTGCTTAGGAGTTGGCCAGCCCAGGAACAAGATGGCCTTCCCTCACCCTTGGACTCAACCAGCCTTTGCAGAAATCACCTCCACTTGAAGCTCACTCAGTGATATCCTTTCAATGTGTTTTATATTGTTTTGACTGCCTTTTTTTGTAGAAATAAAAATTGACCTTAGAATTTATCATCAGATGAACTTGTAAGGATTTGAATGTTCATGTCTTTGGAAAGTCAGTGAGATTGTCCCTGACAGAATGGAGATGCTCCATGTCCCCCACTCAGTGTCAGTCCCTGGCTTTGACCCTTCTTAGCCATTTGGGGACCCGGTCCTTTGGAGAAAGTGGTATTTAGAGGCTTTGCTCCTCACTTTCATTTAGTTCTAGAACTTGGGTGGTCCCAGGGCTTAGCAACTCACAGACCAGAACACCCCCACCACCCCCACCCCCCGTGCAGAGATGAGCAGTGATGGGTCCATGCTGACATGGGGGATGAATGACACAGCTTCTGAAGTCACAGGGACAGGGGACAGATTTTTGGAGACTCTTGGGTGCTTAGCAATAGCTGGAGCCCTATCATCCTTCCCACATCTGCCTCTTCAAGAGCATAAAGAGGTGGGAATGAGTTGTCTCTTTGAGATTTGTAATAAAATGCCAAATTCTGTTCAAAGTTCTTCAGACAAGCTCCCACTTGTTCCCTGCTTCTCCCTGCCTTTCAGGGCAGTGGTCTCAGCATTTTGTGTTTGCATCCCACCTATCTGTCAGCACTTCACTTCTCTGCTCACCACAGAGGAGACTCTGTGCCAGCAGCTTCTCAGGGACACAGTCCTGGCTTGCACATACCCCTGGTTTGTCATGGCTCTGGTGACAGATCAGTCAGCTGCCTAACTGTCCCTCTGTGCATCAGCCGAATCACAGCCAGGTCCTTGGAGCAAGGCCAGTGACCCTGGCAACTCCAGAGCCCACAGGCTGCCCTCGGGAACAGGAGAGCTGTGTGAGCAGCCTAGCCCCTGGGGGTGGAGACTAGGCTTATCTGAAACCTTTGCCCCCAGATCTGCTGCCCTTAATAAAAGCGCTCTCCTACACCAGCTTGGCACTGTGGCTTTTCTTCTGTCTGCGGGTGGCAGCACCGGGCACTGGCAGCCTGGGGAGGGCTGTGCCCAGGCCTGTGCACTTGGGTGGTTTACACTGTGCTGGATGGCCACACACACAGGGGAGCCTTCTCTCAGGGTAAGCCAGAGGCTAGGCCAACACCCAGCGGGAACCACGGCTTATTCTCTGGCTTTGTATTCAATACTGGCAGACAGCCTACAATGTGGGGAATTAGGAAGAGCCTGCCTTCTAGGGTATTATGAGGGAACAAGGTGACGAGGCCTGCCTTTGGTCCCCAAGTGGTGAGCCTGAACCTGCCCAAGCCTGGCATTCAGTCTTCTGTGGATCTAAAATGGGTACTCTTAGCACCGTCCACAGAGGACAAAATGGATGCACAAGGATTGCCACAACCCATTCTTTCCAGTGGTGAGCTGAATCCAGGTGTGGCCACAGGCCCCAGCCTCCTCCCATCCCAGCCTCTCAATTACTGTCCACCAGAGACACCATTCACCCTTCAGCTTCTGGAGTTAAGCATCCGCTTCACCCTTCATTCCTGTGCTGCCTCAGCCTGACCAGGGACCAGCACTGCCTTATCCTCCTGGGGAGTATCCCAATCTGCCCTGTTTGTCTCTTGTTCATTGAAGTGCCTCCACCGCATCCTGCAGGGAGGCCAGTGTAGTCTCCATTCCCCCTCCCTGGGCTGACCTAGGTCCTGTCTCCCCACTTCTGCATACAGTGTGGGGAACAGGCCCAACCAGGAGGATCTTGGTGCATGGCTGGGTCCTAGGTGATGATGAGGCTAGTGGTCGGGGCCTGGGTGAAGAGTGTGCTTCACAAGATAGAAAAGATCCTGGGAACCGGTATTTTCAGAATTGAGAGTGGAAAGACAGTCCTCTGAAATGTCAGCCTGACCCCAGCAGCACAGGAACAGCACCTTCCCCAGCCACTCCGTGCTAACAGCCCTCTACCCAAGCCAAGCATTGTCCAGACACCTAACCGTGTTCTGGGGCACCCAAGCCACCATGGCAACAGACAGCAGTAATGTATTTACTTCCTCCCTTTACCACACTGTTCTGTGCCGTCAAGTCAACTATGATTCATAGCAGCTCTGAACCCTGCCCTTTCCTGAGCCAGCCTCAAAGTCTCAGACACACCTGACACCATTTCCAGTCACTTAATCAGTCCATCTCATCCAGGGTCTCCTCTCCTACAGTGATCCTCTAACTTCCCCAGCATGATGTTCTTCTCCAAAGACTGATTCTTCCTGACAACATGCCCAAAGTGAGTGAGATGCAGTGTCACAGTCCTTGCCTCTTGGCTTCAGGACAGACCTGTTGTTCTCCTGGCAGTCATGCTATGTTCTAAACTCTTCTTCAGCAGGACAGCTCAACGGTGTCAATTCTTCACGCACAGTGAATCCATCCTCTTCCCTGGTGAGCCAGACCTCAGGTTTGGTATTCCTGCCAGTGACTGGGCTTCTATTTCTCTCCACCTTAAATACCCAGGGCCCTGAGAGCTAGTTTGGGCTCACTTCTTCCTGGTCATTGAAACCACTCTACAGTTTCACTTGTCATCTACAGATCCCAAATCTCCCTCCTGCCTACTCATACTTCTAGCTGCTTCCTCCTCAAAGCACCAAGGGAAGTTCCTCTGCCATCAGGCTGCTTCCCAGTCCAGCTCTAGCCAGTGGCCTGTGAGAATGTAGCCATGCTGTAAGGAAGCTGAGAAGGCTAGCAGAAGGACATACCTTGTTGGGGTCCCATTGTCCAAGGGAGGGACTGGCTAGGAAAGTCCACATTGATAAGGTTAAGATGGAAGGTGGACAGAGAACCAGAAAAGGGACTGAAGCCACATTCAGGAAGAGAACACAGGGAGGGAGGGAAACCCTGCCCCACCCTTACCCTTTCAGGGAGTCACATCTTGGGATGGCTGCTGAGTCTGCAGAGTCTCTCTTGGTACCCAAATCAGGCCCACTGGGTGCAAAAGGGACCGGGATGGATAAAAAGGTCAAACGCCTGCTCTGCTATCTCCACTTCTAGGTATGGAATCAGCATAGTGGTGTCTGGCTCAGTTTAGAGACTTGAGATTAGATGAGACAAGGCCACTGGACTGAGTGGTGTCCCATCTGCCTTTCTGTCCTCAACAGTGAACATCTCAACTATCTGTTAACTTGTTTGCAGTCCAGCTGTAACTAAACCATAGCTGACCCTACAGCAGATTTTCAGAGGCAGTAAATCACACAGAAGGAGATTGCCCATCCTCCTGCAGAGCAACTGGTGAATTCAAACTGTGTGCCTTTGAGGTTATAATGTGACTTCTTACCACTAGGCCATCAGAACTCCCTAAAATCTGCTATCTTAAGATCTTGGATGCAAGCCAACCTGTGTATGTCACTAGTCAGCTAAGAATCCTGGGGCCATGTCCACAGAAGACTACCTCACCCAGGGGACTGTGAATGCGTGCCTCTGATTAAAGTTCCCTATGTGGCTAATGCGAAGGTGGGCACTTCAAACCCACATAACACAGTAGTGCTAGACAAAATACTCAGCATGTTAAAATTACAGCTAAGCACCCTTTGGACATGGAGCTAGCTACTTGCAGCCCAGAGCCTGTGAGCTGACATTTGAAACCAGGGTGTGTGCCCACCGTGGTGCTAGGGACCCAGCCACACTCTGATGTCAAGTTGTAGATTCACAGACACCAAAGGGAGTAACTGAAAACAGTGGACAGCAGTAATTTGACACAAGGAAACTGGGATGTTTAATATGGTCTTACTGAAACTGGGACAAATTTAGGCAAACAGGATGACTTTGAGGCTTTGGGAAGTACGAAGGATGCTGCATGTGAACTCTATCAGAAGGAAAAGGAATTCTATCAGAAGGAATAAATGAAACTTACAAAAACTCCAGGATTGGTTAGTAAATCTTGGGATGAAAATTACTAGAAGATGACCCTGAGCTTGGACCAAATGAGGAAGCAAGCATATGAGGAATACATAAGTTCCATTGAGTGAAAATGGAACCCCTAAGTAAATTAGTAGAAAAGAAATTATTCCAGCATAATGTTGTTCGGTGTTGTCAAGTCAACGATGACCCACGGGAACACTATGAATAGCAGATCTGTACCCTGCCCTGTCTGGTCCCATTCTCATCAGCTCTGATATACTTGA